TTTCTGGGGTTCCTAAAGGGACGCAACTCAGCACTGTTTCACCTTAGACCACTGGGCTACATGCCCCTTCACATTGAACCTGTAATACAGAACAAATATGTATGTGTACAGTTGAACCCCTTGTTTTCTTAGTGTTTGCACACTTTGATGACTTTTCCATGAACATTGCCTGCACTACTACTCGCTGATAATATGCATAATATCGAACATGTGAACCCACTCTTACTACTTGTGAAGCCTGCATGAGGTTTCATACAGCTTAGTGTCACATACACCAACAACATAGCATCGTGAAATTGATACAGCTAAAACATTCTAGAAGCGCGTGCATTTTAATACTTGACAAATATAAGAAGTTGATAAATTACATGAATACAAAAACCAGGACTTAAATGCAACATGTCGGCATAGGCCACATTGTCATCCCTATTGGGAAACTGATACATCTTGGAAACAAGGGATTTTCTTGTCCTTAAGCCATTGTTGTCCTATCTACCGGCAAATTTTTAAGTGACATCTCATTTTATGAATCTATTCTCTCCCTCATCCCAAATCTCCCCATATCAGCCTGGTAAGTGACATCTATTTAAAGATTCTATTCAGCAATTCAGAAGGCCCCTTTCCACAATCAACCTTCATTTCCTTTCAATCCCATCACCTACACTGCTCCACCTGTTTCCAACACACAAGTCCCTCTCCCCTGAAGCAGGACACTGAGAAGCGATGTGGACAACTTGAGAAGATCTTCCTCAACGCAATTTATCAGCCAACATCTAGTGTTTAGTGTCATTTCATTCCACTATTAATTCCACAGCCCACCCATAGTGAAATAGTAAAGTTAAAGTTAAACTTGTCTAGATTTGTGATAAACTCCCTCCCTTTGATTTTATCAGATCTTTGATAGGAATGTACCTCCCCTGGCCAAGCATCTTGGCTATAACTTACCAAGCCATACCATGCTATGCTCTATCCCCTCTCACTTCCACAGCAACATTAACACCTGCATTTCTCCTTTCAAGAATTGTTTAAAACCATCTTCATTTCATTATCATCCAAAACATTATCCTTCATGTCAAATAATTATGCACCACAAACACATCATGTTATTCCACTTACCTGAACAAGGTGTTTAAGACAACAGCAACTATCAACAATTACCTAATACACTGGCATCTTCTGATATCATACACCAGTCTATATCACAAACAGACATTGCCATACATGAGTTAGCCTTGCTCCAAGGCTGTACTGGATGCTGAGCCCATGGATGTATAGTCATTCTATCCTTCGAAGAAGCAAATCTAGATAAGCAGACAGTACATCTAAGGACCCCAGTCTGTTAAGCCTAAAAAAATGTTGTGGGTCCGATTACCCCACCGACCTTTGAATTCTGGTGCCGACCTTATTTTTTTTAAGAGAACTGAATTAAATAAGCTTTCAGATACCATTGTTTTTTTTTCCCCCGGCACCGACAGATATCGGTCATTCGGATAGAGAAAGTCGACAAGATGGCCGCAAGCTTGATTGAATAAACAATTATACATTGATACATGTGTTATTAGTTTTGTACTTTCCTTCTAAAAAAATATGAAAAAAAAAAAATACCCTAAATTTTAAAGAGGTGTAATCGGATCCACAACAATTTTTTTTATTTGGCCTTTTTTATTATTTTTTAGAAATTATCATTTAAACTATTAACTTTTACCTAAGAAGCCTGTGCAAGTCTATACATGAGTCTTCTAGACATTATATACAGCCATATAAAAGTTTAAAAAACAAAACGTTAAAGGCAATAAACGATCCCCATAATCATAAGAAATCTATGCTAAAAGCAGTGTGTGTTTCTGAATCACCATCAGTTAGAGAGGATACCAGGTGTCTGCAAACATAAAAGCTGTAAAGCAACCCTCAAGTATGAAATAGGCTCCTGGAGCTGAAGCCAGGATGAGGAAGGAATGGGGATGGTTGTTTTGTTGGGCTTTGAGATCTGTGAAAAGCGAGACTATGTTCTCCGCCAATCGGTTCATGATGTCACGGTTGCTATTAGTTCTAGGCCAATGTTTTATACAATCTAATGATTTCCCATTGATTTAATGTTGCAAATGTCCACAAACAGAATTTTAATGAATTACTATAATCCACTCAATCAGAAGTAAACACATTGTAATTTCTTTTTCAAGTTTACAGATATCTTTAGAAAAGCATCAACTTCTAAAATGCCAATCAAACAGATCAGTACAGATATCTTTGCCACATTTTCAAAATCAACTTTAAAATATAATTATTTTCGTAACTGAGTATGTCATCATTCACCTCTTTCAATGATAGCTGTTTGGGGATAATCGATATATTTTAACTCCCAAGGTAAGCTTTTTTTAAAATGACTCACCTAAATGCTGATTCAAGCAAGTTGTAATTTGTATCTGTTCAGGTTTTGTCCCGTGGGTGTAACATGCTGCATAAACTGACAATAGTGATATACCTGACTAATTAACAACAAGTGTGAGGTAGTACAGAATGTTGTCATGCAATATGGTTTTTTTTAAATTTCATAAATATACGTACATATACATGTACAGAAGAAATTCAAACTTAACTGGCTCATGGTGATTTATGTTGTATACTTTAGGTGTCTATGAAGCTTATCTGCATTAATGTGTATGTTTAAATTCATGTTTCAACTTAACTTATGTGGCAACACAGATTTTCATTTGACCTTTTCAGAGGTCCTTTGTGTACTCCTTTTTTTAAGTTGCTTTCTCTGAGATATTCAATCTTGTGCACGGTTGGCCAGTCTCCATATTCTTCTAAACGTCTATACTATAAAGCATTAAGTTTGGTGGCTGTTGCCATCCACTTCCCATCTGGCCCTCATTGTAGATCTAGTAGTAGATCTGGTATACCCCTGCAGTTGGCCAAGTGCAGGTCACTCCATTACACCAGCAGGTACTGGGCCACAAGAGCACCTTCCCAGAACCACTTCCCTGCCACTTTGGCTTCACAGTTAAAGATGCATGGCCTAGTTCCGTGACGTTACACTCTGTACGTGAGTTATCAGTGTTGACACAGAACGTCACAGCTGTTTCCATACTATTGAAATAAGTACTGTTGTGTTTTCATTTTTTTTATTAAAATATTTACATCAGATACCTGAATAGGTAAGTACTCGTAAGTATATGAGTATTTGCAAAGAAAAGACCTTGCACGGCCTAGATCTGTGTTGTTACACTCCGTGACCCGTGAAGGTCCGGGTTAGAATTGATCATCAGCAACCCATGCTTGCAGTAAGAGGCGAGGGGCGATGGGGTAGTCTAGTGGTTAAAGAGTTGGCTCGTCACGCCGAAGACCCGGGTTCGAATCCCCACATGGGTACAGTGAGTGAAGCCCATTTCTGGTGTCCCCCGCCGTGATATTGCTGGAATATTGCTTAAAGCGGCGTAAAACCAAACTCAGTCAGTCAGTCAGTAATAGGCGACTGACGGGATTGGGTCGTCAGGCTCTCTGACTTGGTTGACATATCCCAATTGCACAGATCAATGCTCATACTGTTGATACTCAAGATTGTTTACGGACCGCCGCCATATAGCTGGAATATTGCTGAGTGCGGCGTAAAACTAAACTCACTCACTCACTGTTATACTTTGTATGTACATGAGTTATTGGTCAACAGCTGTGTCTCCATACTATTCAAATAAGTACTGTTGTGTCTTCTTGTTTTCTTTTTTCTCTCAAAATATTTACATCAGGAGCTTGAATAGGTAAGTATATGAGTATTTGAAAAGAAAAGACCTCGCAAACTAATAAATAATTCAGTATGTAATTGGTTTGTGTGTTTTAAATAATTTCATCATTTTTTATTCTGTGACAAAAAGGTCATGTGTATATTTTGTCAATAAATTCATTATGGTTCATAATGTTTAATATCGACAAGGTACTTCAGTTCTAAATGTCCAATATTGTACAAGGTCAGGGGGATAAATACATTCTTACTCAATAAGGGCTTCAACATTGTCCATAGCGTCAAGTACTTGATCTGTCTGTTGGTTGATAATGTACAATACTTAATATGGTCTAATGGTTCATAATGTCCAATACTTAATACGTCCCTTGGTTCCAGTTGATCAGTACGTGATAAGGTCCTTCAGTTCTTAATCTCCAATACATGATAAGATCCATTGGTCTATAATCTCCAATACATGATACGATCCATTGGTCCATCATCCCTAATACATGATAAGATCCATTGGTCCTTAATGTTCAATGCTTAATACGTTCCATTGGTTCATAATGTTCAATACTTGAAAAGGTCCACTGGTCTATAATGTCCAATACATAAGATCCATTGGTCCATACTGTCCAGTACTTGATACAGTCCATTGGTCCATAATGTTCAATACTTGATACAGTCCATTGGTCCATAATGTCCAATATTTGATGATATCCATTGGTCCATAATGTCTAATACTTGATTAGGTCCATTGGTCCATAATGTCCAACATGTGAAAGGGTCAATAATAATATTTCCTAGGTCTGTTAGTTCAAAATAGCCAATACATGGCAGGTCCAGCTGCGTATAACTCCCTTACATCATGATGATAATCATTCATAATGTGGGAAAACAGTGTATCTTCAGCTTTCCTGTTTTTCTCAATTGTGTTAATTCAACATAAATAGCTATTCCTAAAGTTGAAAACAACACCATTGCAGGGGACATGACACACAGTGGGTGTAAACGTCAAGCCAAGAAATGTGGCACTTCATATTTGAACCCAAACATGTTGGTGCCGCCTATGTTCTTCAAACGAAAAAAACAAAGTGTTGCATATTGGGATAATTTTAACTGCACAACAGTTCAATCAGCCAAATACAAAAGGAGCTGCAGAACTGACATTTCATCCATACAAGAGCAGCATTAGACTGACACAGATGGATTTGGTGCCAGGCTGGCTAAAACCTGTCCTTTGACAGAAATTAAATTATGTGAAAATGAGCATACTTACATTTGGATCTGATGCTAAATTTCTGTGATAATATGAGCTTGGATATGTGGACCTTTTGGCAACTTTTCTATGTTGAAAATGGTAATAATCTGGCATAATCTGAAAATAGAAGAAAATCAAATGGATTAAGTACAAGTGAAACTACACAGCTTTCATCTATATACATGTCATTCGCTCACTCGTGCATGTGTGTGTCTCTCTCTGTCTCTGTGAGTGAGTGAGAGAAACATCATAACTTTAGTCATAAATTGCATAACATTCTGTTTTTTCAAGATTGTATTTCCAACTAACTATTGACAAAAAAGGTACACTTTTGGTGACTATTTATATACTTCTTTGAAAAACATCATTCATCATATAATTCCAACCCAAGTTTGACACAATACAGTTACTCCTGGGAGAGTGAAATGGAAATGAAAGTGTAAGACAGCACGTAACTTTAATGGCCAAAGAAACATGCACCAATACTGCACTTGCTTGATAGCCACACTACCCACATTTGTAACCTGAATGAGAATCAGATGAACACATGACATTTACAGTTGCCGCAAGTTTTATTCTGCTTAGATGTTAAATATACCACAATTCCCAGCAACCTTAGATGTTAAATATACCACAATTCCCAGCAACCAAGATATCTCTGACATGATGATATTTATTGTCGACAGTGCTCATAAAATGAACAATAATGGACAACTATTTGATTGATTCTTAACCCGTGTCACTTCCTGTCAGCTTGTGTTACCGCTTCCTCTACACTGTTTCTGGACCACAGAGAGGAATAATCAGTAACTTGATATCTTATCAAGTCACTCAATCATGTTGGATGTCACTGTGTTGGACTAATCTACAGTTATCGATATGGCGATGGATTAAGAACATATGGAAATCACTTATTAAAAACACTCTATGCACAAAAGTTAGTTCATTAATTTTTCCAATTCATCATTTTTGTGATGATAAAATTCTGTATATTTACCAAGAAATATGGAACTTTTTTACAGCGACATATATATCAATTATCAAATAATATTTGTGAACATTTTATGAGATTTAAAAAAAATTGATACCTGAACATTCTCAGATTCATGAATAGTGTTGTGTAATTTTCACCACTGTTTTGCTTTTTACACAAACTGGAATCTACTTGCAGATAATCCAAGACTGTTTATTTATCTTTCATAAGTTAATGACATGTTTTATGATTGTTTATGCAATAATCTAAACAACAGATCTTCTTAAGTGTCTGAAAACACGAGGATAAACATATTTGTAATACTAACCAAAAATAGTTCTGCCAAAAAACTTTAAAAGGGTGGTTTACTTCAATGCTTAACCCGACACCACTTTCAGCAATATTTCAGCAAAACTACAGCAGGGTAACTCCAAACATGTGCTCTACACACTGAACCCAGATCAGTCACAGATCCATGGCCTACTGAGCTGACGCTTTAACCACTGGGCCACCCCACCACAGTGTCCATCCCCAACAAAAAAGGATAATCCACATGCCTAGATACAACACCTGCAACATTTCACTGCTTGGTACAAGAACAGCCATTGTCATCGTCACCCATCCCTATCACTCAATCTTATCTCATCACTTCATTGTAGCTGGAGTATTAAGGGACATAAAAGCACCACACTAGAAACATATCGTGACACCAGCTCTCATCTCATTGCCCAGCCTAATTACAAGCAATCACAATGTAATCTGAATGAATTATCCCGAAATTCTTCCACCTATCCTCACCAACCACAAAGTTCAGTACACCCAAGCAAACAGATTATAACAAGCAGGGTGAAAAACTCAGTCTGTATCACGCTCTGGTAGCGAGTGATACCCGCTACCCACATGTCCTTCCGCCGTACCTCATCACAGTACTAGCGTGGCTGTTTACACAGGCTGGCTATCTATAATAATCCCTGGAGAAGCTTATTGTGGGGCCCCTTCATGCAGGTTGCTATGTCAATATAGCTCTGCTCCTACCAAAAAGGGCACATTTTGCTATCAGTGTGAGAAAATTTGATACATTAATAGCACTCCTACTGTCATTTTGGCATAGAATTAAAGGGAATTAAAGGACCAATTTGAGTCCTAGCAAGTCATTTGAAACCTATCTTGTTAGTGTGTCAATTCACTTGAATAATTCAGTTTAAAATGATGTAAATCTGTCTAGAAATTATTGTGTCTCAAAATTATGAGTGAGTGAGTGAGTGAGTTGGGTTGAATGACTCTGTAACGTATGTATAGTATAACACAGGTTGTCAGTATATCAACTCTACACAGAACCCGCCGTGATATTGCTGGAATATTGCTAAAAGCGGCGTAAAATCAAACTCACTCACTACACAGAAAACTGTGGTGCCTTCATCAACTGGGTCAAATGATACCCTCTGTGACTTTTTCATATCACTAGTTTATCTGTCATGGCTATATCAAACTGGAGGAATCATTTTTATCCAGTGTTTTAGGAAACAAATCCTTGTCCCTCTGACTAGAATAACAATGAGGTTGAGGGACTGTGAGACAGACTACCCTCTAACTTGTGAAAGATCTAGTGGTACTATCACAAGTTTCAAGTATCTCCTTAAAATACTCACACATTCCATAGGCATTATTTATGGAACAAATACATCACAACAATGGGATAAATCAAATATTCAGATTAAGTCCCAGGATGAAAAGTAGCCGATTATGTGCCATTCTCATATATTTATCCTAATCCAGTGGTAGATTAGTATGCATAAAAATGATAATAATGACATAAAACTTGATCAAAGCCACTCTTTGAAGAATAATTTGACATGGGCTACACTGGATCGAATGAGTTCACAGCTCCAGTGATGATGAAAGCCTGAGAAGAATGATGAAATAATATCAGCAGCCTGGTATTGATCAACCAACACGTTCTTCCCTTACAGTAATGGATGCCATATAGTTTCATTATCCTGGGGGGCAGTGGGGTAGCCTAGTGGTTAAAGCATTTGTTTGTCACATCCAAGATCCAGGTTCATTTCCCACATGGGTTCAATGTGTGAAGCCCATTTCTGGCTTCCCCTATTGCTGGAATACTGCTAAAAGCAGCAAAAAACTAAACTCAATCTCTTAATATCCTTGGTTAGATTCCATCACAAGAACTGCAAAATGGAAGAATGTACAATGAACAATGCATATATCACATGAGGGGACACCAGAAATGGACTTATAACTTCAACCCGGGAATGTTTGTTTACATGTATTCATACAGATTTATTAATACTCTAATTATGATATGCTTTTACATGATATTTTCTACATAGTACTGAAACAGTATGAATAACTATTACCAATATTTCCATGATGTAAAACAATTAGAATTTCGGATCATACATGATGTCAACAATGTTGTTCTGGACTGCCACAGGGAACGAGTTGAAGCCAGACTACAGAGTAGATAGATGTCACTGCCAGAGGGAATGAGTTGAAGCCAGACTACAGAGTAGATAGATGTCACTGCCACAGGGAATGAGTTGAAGCCAGACTACAGAGTAGATAGATGTCACTGCCAGAGGGAATGAGTTGAAGCCAGACTACAGAGTAGATAGATGTCACTGCCAGAGGGAATGAGTTGAAGCCAGACTACAGAGTAGATAGATGTCACTGCCAGAGGGAATGAGTTGAAGCCAGACTACAGAGTAGATAGATGTCACTGCCAGAGGGAATGAGTTGAAGCCAGACTACAGAGTAGATAGATGTCACTGCCAGAGGGAATGAGTTGAAGCCAGACTACAGAGTAGATAGATGTCACTGCCAGAGGGAATGAGTTGAAGCCAGACTACAGAGTAGATAGATGTCACTGCCAGAGGGAATGAGTTGAAGCCAGACTACAGAGTAGATAGATGTCACTGCCAGAGGGAATGAGTTGAAGCCAGACTACAGTAGATAGATGTCACTGCCACAGGGAATGAGTTGAAGCCAGACTACAGAGTAGATAGATGTCATGCAATAGCAACTTGTCTCATGGTCAGGTAATCCAAGGAAAAGTACCTTTTGCCAACAACCATTATTGTGAAGGACATCCACACCATCATATTATGAGGAATTTAGGACCTTTTAATGTGTCTTTTTCTGTTTTACTTTTTAAGCTATCATAACATGATTAAATTATGTTTCATTATGCATAAAGAATTTGCATGATAAATCAGAATTGTACAAAAGCACATGAACAATGTGTCGACATGATAAAGTTGGTTGGTTGGTTTGTTGTTTAAAGCCACACTCAGCAATATTCCAGCTATATGGCGTCGGTCTGTAAATAATCAAGTTTGGGCCAGACAATCCAGTGTTCTTCATAAGTGTCATTGCTTTTTGCCACTTCCTGCAAGTAACTATCTATCTCATCTATGGTTTCGTTTCATTCATTTCTCATCTTCAAGCATTCTGACAACCAACCGTGTTACCTCATGTATATATGAAGCTGTTTCCTACCCAGAAGGCTTGAGCTATACCAGCAACCATCACAACATATGGGTTTTGCCGATACTTGGTGTTTAATGTCACCTTCAGCAGGCAGATGCATTTACACCATCATAAACATGCAAGAAAGATGGACAGGGATGCAAACAGAATGCCAACATAATGTCTATGACTTATTCAATGCTGTGCTAATGTGCACAATGCCAATACAGGAGATGTGTAACATTTGAACTGCATGAAAATACATATCCATTCAGTCTCCCCTTTGGGGTTTAACAAATTCAGATGAGTGAAAAATTGTTCACATTAACATCTAAGACAACAGTTTAGACAAGGTATTGAGTAAAAGCAACATCATAGTTTGAACATTTTACCTCCAAAACTTGTCATTAACTTTTTAGGCAGGAGATTTTTCAAGTTGCTTGTGTGTTGTGACACAGTGCAGTATTCCCGTTATTCAACAGTAAATACCAGAATACAGTGTGTACCTGATATTCCAGTGATTGGTATTGCGAGCAGATATACATGATGGCTTCAAGGACATCAGGTCTATTTTCCTGCTTCATTTTATATTGTATTTTTTCACAAATTTGTTATTCTGGATTATGTGTTATGAATTTCCAAATATATCAAATGTGTT